TGCTCTTCCAGCCTGCTACTCTGGGCAGGCCTGAGTTTCCTCTCCTCACCTAATCCCTTTGGCTGATTGCTCTTCTCTTTGGCTTCCTGGCTTTTAATCCCCTTTCTCCTGCTCTTCCTGCCTGCTGCTTTGGGCGTCCCTGAGTTGTATCTAGTAATTTATTTATTTATCAACTTTGTTCTCTCTGTATCTCTTTGTTTACTGCCCCTTTCCTTTTCCTCTTCCTCGCATGCGGCCCCTGGCCTCCCGGCAGCTCTAGGGGCCTAGCGCTTACCGCGTGGGGCTGCTCACCCACAGCCCGCTGCTTGTGACCCCAGCGCTGCTCCGACCGCGGCAGGGCAGGCGGTGGGCTCGCCTCCACCTGGAGCACCTCGGAAACCCTTCCCCGGCACTCACGCTCTGTCCCAAAGGCTGGCTACGAGTCTGAGCAAATAATCTGAGAAGCTGCACTATATGAAGAATGCAGCATCAGGTTTGGAGGAAAACTCATTAACAACCTGCACCATGCAGATGACACAGCCTTGCTTGCTGAAAGTGAAGACGACTTGAAGCATTTACTGATGAAGATCAAAGACTGCAGTCTGGAGTATGGATTACACCTTAGCATAAAGGAAACAAAAATCCTCCCAACCGGACCAATAAGCAGCATCGTAATAAATGGAGAAAAGATTGAAGTTGTCAAGGGTTTCATTTCACGCGGCTCCACAGTCAGTGCTCATGGCAGCAGCGGTGAAGAAACCAAGACAGTGCATTGGGCAAATCTGCTACAATAAACTTCTTGGAGTGTTAAAAAGCAAAGATGTCACTTTGAGGATGAGGGTGCACCTGCCCCAAGCCATGGTCTTTTCAATCGCTCATGTGCATGTGAAAGCTGGACAAGGAGTAAGGAAGCCCGAGGAAGAATGGATGCATCTGAATTACGATGCTGGCAAAGAGTACAATGGATGCATCTGAATTACGATGCTGGCAAAGAGTACGGCTATACCACGGACTGCAGCGAATGACCAGACCCATCTTGGAAGAAGTGTAGACAGAACGCTCATTAGAAGTGAGCATGGCAGAAAAACAAAGCGACTCCATTCAGCTTCCCAGGCTGACGGTCTCCCTCACGCAGGACGACTGTCTGTTTTGTCTGCGTCCTGTCCAAAGCTTAAAGCATCTCTTAAAAAAAGAAATGAGGGTGGCAAGACTTCATCCCTTGTACTTGAGATGTGCTCAGGAGGGAGCAGTCCCCAGAGCAAGGAATCATGGCTTGTAAAGTGGAGGGTCAACGAAGAAGAAGACCCTCAACGAGAGGGAGGGGCACAGTGGCTGCAACAAGGGCTCACTCACTCACAGCAAGGGCTGAGGACGGCACAGGCCCGGCAGTGGTCTGCCCTGCTGTACACAGGGCCGCGCCCTCCACTCACCAGAGACTGCTCAGCTGTGAGGTGGCAGGAACTACGGGTATACCCCACGTTGCAGGTGACCCACAAAACACGATGTCCAGGGAAAGAAGCAGAACACACAAAAAATACCAGACACCCATTTCTATGGAACACAGTTAAAGGAACGCCGATTCGTGGCTGTCTGGTGACCTGCTCCCTCGGAAGATCGCAGCCCAGGGAGCCCCCACGTCCGCTCCGCCAGGAGCAGTTGCTGCGGGTCCAAGTCGGCTCCAGGGCACCCAACAACGACCACAATAGTTCAGTGGGCACTTGCTGACTGCGTGGGCTGTGGACCATCCGTGGCTGGGCAAGTGACACCCAGGTGGCTGCTCTGTAAGCAGCTTGGGGGGGGTGTCCTGGTGGACTCCCTGGGGTGTGGTCAGGATCACCTCACCCACACCTATCTGGCAAGTACACCTTCCAGTCAACAACATTCTCTGGGTCCTTGAGGCCTCACCACAAAGCCTCAGGCGTCGGAGGGGACAGGTGCCAGTGTGGTTCCCTTAGACGGAGCTGCGGCTCTGACGCAGCCCCCGTGTTCCCAGACCTGTTCCCCTTTAGGCCTCAGCAGTACAGGTTTCCGGATGCCTCCTGCCCCTGCTGGAGCCCCCAGGGGCCCAGAGTGCAGAACTCAGAGGGGAGGGATCTGCCTGTCCCTGCAGAAGTGACACCCACACCCATTCCCTCTGGGGCCCAGGATCTGTGCGCTGGGCTCGCCAGGTGAGCGACTCCGCCGCCTAGTGATTCTGTGCGGCTGTTCGGACAGACCTCGGCCCAGGTTCATGGACCCACGGGACGTCAGCAATAGCTCCAGGGGTCCGCCAGGGCCATCTCTGGGGACACAGCTGGGAGGGTGCAGGGGCGCGCTGGCCTTCGGACGTGGGGAGTGGAGCGTGCAAGCCTCCCGCCGTGTCGCGCTCACAGGCACGAGGGGCGCCCCCACGTGCGCCCTGGACGGCGCCTTCCGCCTATTGTACCGCCACCGCTGGTGCCCCCACCCACCGCTCCCGCTTAGCCATCCTCCAGCCCTTTTAGAGCTGCTCGTTGTCATTCCTTCAGCCCTGCTTTGAGGACTGCTCGTCGTCATCAATGTTGTCATCTATGTGCCGCTAGACCCCGAGCTCCGCGGGACCCGCCTGGGGCCGGGATGGTGGCCAGGGCTCCGGGAGAGGCCTAGCTCGCCGGTCCTGGGAGTGGTTTCCCTGCGTCGGAAACCAGGGGCCAGCCAAGGTGTTTCCGCGGAGCCCCGGGCGCCAGAGCCGCCTCCCGCGGAGGCCCCGAGCGTGCAGGGCGCACTCCTAGGCTGCGCTCCGCAGGCGAGGCCACCAGGCGGCAGCACTGAGGCCGCCGGCGCGCCCAGGGCACGTGACTGCGAGGAGGTGGGGGCCCCTCGGACGCAGCGCCCGCCTTCGGGAGCCCTCGCACGAAGTGCGCCCCAGCAAGTCCTTCTAAAGCTTGAGTGGACGCGGGGAAGCGCGCGGTCTGCGGGAGAGTGTGGGCAGGCTTCTCGGAGGTGCAGCGCATGCACTGAGCCGCGGAGGTTTGCGCGCAGCACTCCTCGAGGACAGGTGCGGGGTGGGGGCACAAAACTTGGGACGCAGGACACAAAAGGATCAAAAGGCAAAAGGCAGCAAGGGGAGGGGTCACCGCGGGGACAAAAGGGCGAACACCGCCAGGAACCCAAGCAAGGAGACAGGGTGACCAGGTGCACAGGGGCCTGCACCCTTCAATGGAAGTGTCCATGGGCACGTATGCGGCCTGGGCGCCCGATCAATAGCCGGCCCTGCATGAGGGGAGAGGCTCCGTGAAACCGCATCTCCTGCCCTGGAAACCACCTCAGGGCAAAGGGTCCCTGACAAGGCCTAGGCTGGGGAAGGGCTGTCTGAATAGCCTTGCCAGCACTGTGGGCGCTGTTGTCATGGTTGACCCTGGGCCACTGTCTCACACAGGTGTCCTCCAGAGCCCCTAGCACCGGGAGGAAGCCTGGCTTGCGCTCTCCATGTCTGCAGCTCTGTACCAGGGCTTTCCCTACGGGAATGGCTCTCCTGGGTCAGGGCCAGGGGGCCGGGATGGGGATGCAGAGTAGGGCTCCCCACTCAGCAGCCTGTGACCAACGTGGTGGCCCCTCCTTCCTGCTGCCTTCAAGGAAGGGCCTCCTGAGACCTAGACCATTCCTGATCGGCGTCTCTGCCCCCACCTTCCAGCAGGTGTGCAGGGAGCTGGTGTGTGAGTAGTGTGTTGGTGACAGTCACCACAAGCACCCCAGGCAGCCAAAAGCTGAGTTAAAAATCTCACCTCTGTAGGGGACCAGCTGAGTGAGCAGGGGCCACTCACCATAAGAGCCTCCTCTGTGACATGGGACAGGCAGACTGCCCACCTTCTGGGTCATTTAAGAATGCATGGCATCTCCTGGACCATGTCCACACTCAGGGACACTGACAGATGGGGGCCCCTTGCCCCCCCCCCCCCCCCCCCCGAGTCTGCCTAGCTCTGAGTGCCACGCCAATGGCGCATCCATACACAGTTTTATTAACAATCTCAGTAGCCTGGGCTGAGTCCACAGGGATGGTCAGCCCTGCTGCCAGCACCGTCCCAAACGCCCCTAAGTGGCCGCTAAGGTCTCCGAGTCCAGCTGCACCCACACTACAACAGGTTCACCTTGGCTACCACCGGCTTGCAGCCAGTGATGGCGTACTCGCGGCCAGACACGCGGTAGTAGCTGAGCTGCGCCGCCAGGTGCTCGGCGCGGGCCTGCTCAGGAAAAAAGCCCTCCCCCGCCATCTCCTCCCGGAAGCAGTTGACCACGTCCCACTTGTCCAGCAGCAGGAACGGCACAATGGCTGCGGCCTTCCACAGGGGGTGCTCGCGGGCCAGGAGCGCTCCCAGGCTGGCGCGCAGCTCCTCCTCCGCGTCGGCTCCTTGGCCCGCGTCGGGCCGCCGGGCCAGCTCGCGGGAGGCGTTCTGCAGCACGAAGCGCGTGACCTCACCACCGCCCGCGCCGCTGAGGAGCAGGTAGATGGCGCTGTGGAACTGGTGTGAGCGCTGCGGCTGCAGGAAGCCGTGCACCTCGTCCAGGAGCGCGGGCGGCATGGCCTCCACCTCGTCCAGCACCAGCAGCGGCGTCTTCTCCTCGGCCTCAGCCCGCGCCACCACGTCGGCCACGCGCCGCGCCAGCTCCTCGCGGCAGGCCTGCGTGGCACGCGACTCCGGGCAGTGGTGGCGCGCGTGGTACTGCAGCACTAGCTCCCCGTCGCCGAGCACGGCGCGGAAGTGGCGCGCCAGCAAGCGGCCCACGTGGCTCTTGCCCACGCCGCTGGGCCCGTGCAGCGCCAGGAGCAGGGGGCGACTGTGCACGTGCGTGGCCAGGTAGTCCCGCAGCAGCGCCACGATGCGCCCCACGGCTGCCGGCTGCCCGAACACGGAGCGCTGCAGCGCCTTCTCCAGCCCGTCGAGGTCGTAGCGCTGCGCGTTGTCGTCCAGGTTCTCGATGGCGTTCAGCACCTGGAAGCCCACGATCGCCACGAGCAGCAGCAAGCAGTGCTGCGCACGGCTCCGGTGCTCTGCGCGTGGCAGGTACTTGCGCGAACTCTCTGGGTACAGCACCATGCGGCTACGCCTCCGCCTCTTGCGCGGTGCCCTCGAGGCCAGCTCCGCGGCGCCGTCGAAGGTGAAGAAGCGCGGCTGGTCGGCTCCGGCGTGCGGCGCCCGGAGCCCTGCGTCCAGCGACCCCGCGCTGGGAAGCAGCAGACGGCGCTTGCGCAGGAGGCACACGCGGCGACGGAGACGCAGCGCGGCGCGCACAGGCGCGATCACGCACGGGCCGGGGGCGCGAGGCGCTGCAGGCTGCGGGCTGGGCGGGCCGCAGTCCATGGCTGGGGGCGGCGTTCGGCATGCAGGTCGCTGTCCCTGCAAAGGGAGAATCTGAGACGATTCCGGCCTCCCGATGCCCACTGAGACCTTTCCTTTGAGTGGTCTTACGCCTGTCGAGGCCGCCCACAGGCAGGGCTTGGTCCCGGCCCCGCTGCGCCCAAGGCCCGCTGGCCAGGAAGCGGCTCCCCCGCGGGGCCCCATGCAAATCCCTCGGGCCCTCGGGTAAACAGCGGCCACAGCCGCTGGGAGGAAGCGGCTGGAGGGGGTGGGGGTGGGGGGCGGCCGCAGCTTATCGGCCGCTCTGCCGGCTTCCTGGAGGAGGAGTCGGTGTCCGACCTGGCGCCGATCGGGGTAACGAAAGGTCATGCCCGGACCCGCCCCCGACCGCAGCTCCGACTCCCAGGCGCCAGGGGCCCTCCGTGTCCCAAGGCGGTGCTCCGGGGAGCAGCGGTCCTGTCACCCCTGGAGTCCAGCGATGGCTCCCCTATTGAAGAACACTTGGGGGAGGTCTGGCCGGATCTTGGCTTTTGAAAATGGGCCCCAGCCCTGCCCAGGGTCAGTCCCGTCCTCCCAGGCCCCACCCCGAAGCTGGGGCCCTCCCGCTACCCCCACAGAGCACACCCCGGCAGGATCGTGTCGGGGAGCCCCTCAGACTAAAGTTGGAGGGGAGAACCATTGACCTGCTGGGAGCGTCCTGGGCACACGGCTGGGGGCAGCCGCATAAGGACGCACGGGAGGCCGGCGAGAGGCCTGAGCGCGGCGCCCCCAACACCCCCATACCTGCAGCGGTGTTACGCTCCGGGCCGCCCCGCCTGCCGCCGCTCTAGGCGCTGGACCTCAGCAAGTCGAAATGCCGGCCGCCCTGGGGCGGGGGTCTGGAGGGCAGGGGCACCTGCGGGTCCCTGGGGAGTGTCGGAGGAGGCTGGGGGAAGCTAGAAAGTTTCCGCTTCTATGCAGAGGAAGTGAGTCAGGGGTGCGGTGGGCGGGACTTAGGCTGGAGGAGGTGCTCAGGGGGGAGGCCTGGCGAGCCTTTGGCCCGCTTCAGCTGGGCTCCCCTCACCTTCCCCTGCCGGCAGCTCCCGAAGCCCACCCCCTTCCAACAGGTCCAGGCCCGGGGCACCTGCCCTGGCGCTTCCGTGCCCTGGCTCCTTACTGGGCCTGTCCACACCCGCCCCCCCAACACACCTCCACTTAACCGCCTTCCCCTGGGCCTGACCCAGAATCTGTAAACAGGGAGGGGAAGGCAGGGCTCCGTGGTTGGCTCTGTGTCCCACCCCTCCCTCCCTCCTGCCTCTTCCCTCCCCTTCCAGCTCCCACCTGGACAACGGTCAAGGACCATCCTAGACCCAGGAAAAGACGTCTCCATGTGGCTGGGGAGCAACTGCAAGAAGTTGGGGCCGCGAGTTGAGCGCCAGAGGCTCCGGGCCCCCAGCTGTGTCTGTCCTGTTTCCCAGTTCCGTTCGGGCAGAGGAGCCAGGTCTCCCCCACCTCGCGGGGATGGAGCTCAGTTCTGGCGTGCCGTGCCCATCACGGCACCCACTGGTTCTCGTGGGCTTGCAGGTGCCCCCTGCAGACCTGTCCTGCCTGGGACCCTCTACGCCAGCTCCAAGGCCTGTGCTCACAAGTCTCTCTCCTGTCACCTCCTTTCAAATGACCCTGCACCTCCCGCCTGTTACAGCGGTCCACCCTACGCTTCCAAGAGTCAGGATTGTCAGCGTGGACCCCAGGCTTCGCTGGGAATTCCTGTCTGTCAAGCCCCCTCCAGCAGGATCATCTGACCCCTTCGACTAGCTCCCCTCTGGCATCTCTCCACCTCCAGAGACTGGGCCTGGAACCCCCCACCCCAACCTTCTCCACTGAGAGCACCCCTGACCCAGCCACCTCATTTTGGCTCAGCTGGCAGCCAAGCCCCTGGCATTGACCCCGTGGGCCACCCTGCCTTCACCTCTTGGAACGCCCCCTTGCTGGCGCCTGTGGAGACGGTGCAGGCTCGGCCCCCGGGCCTCTGTGGCTCCAGGACTCAATTCCTACCAGAGGCCAACAGTCAGGGACCCCTTAGATGGGAGCAGAGTCCACTCTGACTTGGAAAGGGCTGGAAGCAGGCTCACAATCTTCCCCGAGTCCAGTCAGGGCCAATCAGTACTGTCAGTCCTGGGAGATGGGCCATGCAGGCCTCCCCGGAGGGGACAGCTGTTCTCCCGTGACCCCGGTGCTGCTGGCAGGCCTGCCTCCCCAACCCCTGGGGAGGAGGAGGTGCTAGGCACATGTCTGACCAGGTCCCGTAGCTTCAAATGTGCTCACAACACAGGCTCGTGGACTTCAGTCCCCCCAGCTGCGCAAGGTTTACAGGGGGCCACATCCCGTCCGTAGCACCCAAACTCTTGGGGCTGAATGCCATGAGGCCTGGAAGGGTCCCATTGGCCTTGGCACTCGAGCATAGTGGCGGTGCTGGACTGCAGCTGCTTCTGCCAAGAACGCAGGCACCAGGCCTGAAGGAGACTGGCCCGAGGGGCCCAGTGTCACCTATAGCCCCAGGGTGGGCAGGCACGGCAGTCATTTCACCCACTGCATTCACAGAATAACTTTTATTTACGCAGTGAACATCCCCTCAGCCCACCAGCAGATGTGCCCCTATAAACCGGGGGAGGGGCCCCTGAGTGGGGACTTGCACACAGGCCCCGTCTGGGGCCAACTAGGTCACATCACTGTGGGCGTAACTCCATCTCAGAGGCTCCAACTGGCAGCATGTGGCACAGACCAGCCCCAGATGCGACTCTGCAGATACCAGGCGGCTGGGCCCCAACCTTCCCCTTAGGCCTCCCTCAGCCCCTGGGGGCTCCACGAACATGCAACGCAACCGGAGCCTGGCTGGCTGGGCTGCAGCAAGAGCCCACTAAGCAGTGAGTGCCAACAGCACACTGCCCCCAGCCGGACGCACTAGGGCAGAGTCCTCCTGGGGGCACAGCCTGAACCCCCCAGGACCTGGTGGCCAGGAGGCCATGGACGAGCCCTTAGATAAGGGACCTGTCCCCACAGAGGCCCCACCCCGCACCAGGCGCAGTGGCAATGCCTTCCAGGGTTGGAGAGCACATCGGGAGGCCTCACTGCACAGCTGGGGCGGGTACAGGGGGCAGGGGCAGCTCCAAGGCAGGCGTTTCAGCCCCTGGGGCCGGGCTAGGCTTGCGGTGGTCCAGCTGCTCCAGCTTCTGGCCGAGCTGCACGTACAGCTCCTTTACAGCCTCTCCGCTCTGCGGGTGAGCCTGGGGTCACCGGGGGCCCCCACGCCCATGCCCAGGGGTCACCCGGGGCCCCCACACCCATGCCCAGGGGTCACCCGGGGCCCCCACGCCCAAGAGCCAGCCAGGGTGACAGTACCCGTACAAGCGGGTCACCCGGGCTCCTAGGGGCGCTGTGTCCACACAGGCACGCTGGACACCCACCTGGCCCGTGGGCTCCAGGGCCCGCTGCAGTGCCTCCAGCCTGGCCGGGGCCACGCGGTGGTGCAGGTGGATCAGCAGCCGCAGCACGTGCCGGTGCACGTTCTCCTTCCTGGGGAGCGGGGAGGACGGGGCGGAGGGTGTGAGATGGATGAGCGCAGGCCCCACCCATGACATCCCACCGCACCCCCAGGGGCGGTGCCAGATTGAAGAGTACACGCCCCACCCACACCCACCACACCCACGGGCTCCCAGGGCAGGTGCCCATGATGCCCCAGGTTCCCAGCAGCCACCTGGCCAGTGCGCAGGGAAGGGGGGGTGGGGAGGCAGGTCAGGGGGCTGCCTCGCAGACCTGTGACATCTCCCACCTTGACGCGGCTATGAGCAGGAAGCTGTCGAACAAGCTGGTGCAGAAGTCCTCCGTCGCAAACTCATCCGCCAGCAGCGCCAGGTTCCCAGTAAGCAGGTGCAGGAAGATGTCCCCGAACGCCAGGTCCCCGAAGGTCTCCACTGCAAGCGTGGGCCACATCATCATCAGCCCTGGCCCCGACCTTGGGGCTCAGGGGAGACGAAGCAGTTCTCGGGGGTCCAAAGCGGCACAATGCTGGGCTGACAGCAGGGGGCTCCACACAGTGCAGCCACAGCACAGGGTTGGGGGCAGAGGGGCAGGATGGAGAGTGAAGGACACCAAGCTGACCCCAGAAGAAAGAGGAAAGGTGAACAGACAGTTAACCAGAAAAGAAGTCCAAAGGTGGCCACAGCGGGTCCCACGAAACCAGACCCTGGCTGCTCTGATGAGAGAACCATGGAGCGGCGAGTGTGCCCTCAAGCTGGCCCGGCACTGACACGGGACAGAGAGAGAAGCTCACAGCCTGCATTCGCGTGGCCGCCGCTGCTGCTCCTCCTTCCGCAGCCGTGACCACGTGCTAAGGGCACCAGAACATGGCCACCCCGCACCCCGGGAGCAATGGCCCAGGCGAGCAGCACCGGCGCATGTCCCGGCAGTCGGTCCACAGAGTACCTGGCCCGCCAGCATTCCTGCCAGCTCCCTCCGACCACCACATCCAGACAGAAAAGATCACAGCACAGCCCGGCCAGGGACAGATTCCAGGTGAAACAGAACCCCTACCGACCAGGAGAGGCCATGCCAGCAAGTGCTCGGGGACAAGGGGCTCGGCTGGATCCTGAGCTGAGCAGACCGTTGGCGCCAATTGTGCGCACGACTTGGGAAGCCTGACCGTCAGACGTTCAGGAGTCACAGGCCAGTCTGCCGAGGCAGGACGTGGTCCCGCCTCCTTTCACAGTGACACGTATGCTAAATTAACTGCAGCCCACACGGCAGTGCCCGCGGCTCAACTCAGAGGCGGCTGCGCCCCACGGCGGACACTGCCAGCGCCAGCCTCTGAAGGCAGGCAGCTTGCAGGAAGGGCCTGTGGAACCGTGCTTCCTACCTGGTTCCCTAACAGCCTAAAATGACTGAACAAAACCCAAACACCCGACAGACCGACCGATGGCCTGACCTGGGAAGGTGAGAAACAGGGAGCGCGGGAGGGACGAGCAAACCGACGACAAACGGCAAACTGTGAAGCCAACATCCATTCTCACTACAGCCAGTGGCACAGCGGGCGGCATGCTGGGCCCTGGCGCAGAGGGAGCTGTGGGACAGCAGATGCCACCAGCACATCTGGACCAAGGCTGGGCCTGCCACCGGGTCTCTAGCCAACATTCTGAGACGAGAAGAGATGAGCTGCAGAGAGGTTTACCAGTGGGTTCCTAGAAGCCCCAGAAACCAAACAACAGAACGATGACCTGGGCCAGCAGGACAACAGCCTGAAGACGTCGGTGACCCCGGTCAGCCCAAGACGTCACACCCTCGTCCTCTGGCCCAACACAGCCAGAGGGACCCTGCGACAAGAGACACCACAGACTTCCCATGAGTCGAATGTGGTCCCAACAGTCCTGGTCAGAGAGTGGGAGGGTCACGAGTGACAGCTGAGGGGTCTAGACGTGTGGTGGGGGAGGGGCACGAGCCAAGGGACGAGGCGGCCTCTAGAAGGCGCCAAGTCCAGAACGGATCCTGAAGCCTCCAGAAGCCACCGCCGTGCGTACACCTGTCCTTTATCGTCAAGGGGCAGCAGCTGTAAGGTAACGTCTGCAAACCAACATGGCTTGTCACGCCGAAAGCCCAGCACACACACGCAGCATCACTGACAATGCTGGTGGCCCACACCCCCCCTTCCGTGCGAGATATCATGACGAGAGCCTATCCGAGAATCTAGGGGGCTAAGTCCAGGGCCCTGAGGCCTCACCTCAGTGCCCCACCTCAACCTGCAGAGCAGGTGAGGCCCCTGGGACAGGGAGACAAGACCGCGCGTGGCTGTGCAGAACGGTGGACGTGCCTGTCAGCAGACGAAAGACGAGGCGAGCCCAAGGTCTGGGAAGGAAGAGCTGGAGCCCCTCCCTCACTGTGAGTCTAGGCAAGAACCAAGAAGGGAGACAGCGGCCAACCCAGGAGGGGGCCCGGCCACGAGGAACTCAGGCAGGCCGAGACAGCGGGCCGACCTGGTGGGGGGGACCCACACAGGCTGAGAGACAGCGGCCGACCTGGGAGGGTGCCCGGCCGCGGGGGACTCACGCAGGCCGAGAGACAGCGGCCGACCTGGTGGGGGGGACTCACGCAGGCTGAGAGACAGCGGCCGACCTGGTGGGGGGCACTCACGCAGGCTGAGAGACAGCGGCCGACCTGGTGGGGGGCACTCACGCAGGCTAGGCAGCAGCCGTAGCAGCGCACTCCTGTTCCTCTGCTTGGTCATGTGCAGCACGTAGTACAGCCCCACCTCACAGGCCATGCGTTGTTCCAACAGAAACCTGTGCCAGACAGGCTGTCAGCACGGGCACCGCTGCAGGCCGGGACATCCCCCACTGCAAGCCGGGATGCTATGGAATGTTCCCCAGTACAGGCGGGGATGCTGTGGGATGTCCCCTAATACAGCCTGTCAGCATGGGACCCGCTGCAGGCTGAGATGGTGTGGGATGACCCCCAGTACAGACCATCAGCACAGGGAGCCCCACTGCAGGTCAGGACACTGTGGGATGGTCCCTACCACAGGCCATCAACACAGGCCCCACCTACAGACCAAGATGCTGTGGGACACCCTGCTACAGGCCGGGATACTGTGAGATGTTCCCCAATACAGGCCAGGACGCTGTGGAACCCCCCACCTACAGGCTGAGACACGGAACCTCTCACCTACAGGACCAGCCACTCTGGAACCCCCAAGCTACAGGCCTGGAACACTGTGGCACACCTCCCCCACCTACAGACTGAGACACTATGGGACACCCCTGCTACAGGCCGGGACACCGTGGGACAACCCCCACCTACAGGCCCAGGACACCCTGTGGACCACCCCCCACAGCCTAGGACCCCGTGGCCCGCTTCCCCACAGGCTGGGACACCTCCATGGGACCTCCTGCATGGGATGCCCTGCAAGACTGTCAGACACAGGCCCTCTGCCGTGACCCCAAAAGAAGTGCATGCCACAGGCCCCTGCTGCCTATCAGGCTCCCGTACTTGGTGAAAGTTTCTGGAAGCGTGTTTGGGTAGGTGACTGGGGCTCTCTCCTCAGCAGGAAGCTTCTGGTCCACATTGAAGGTGTGGTCATCCACCACAAAGGACATGAGTGTCGGCAGGAACCTAGTGACGAGCTCCACCTCCTGGGGTGGGGGCTTGAGGTGAGGGACCACCCCGGCCCTCCCCCAAACCCCACCCTACACCCCTCCCACCCTGGGGCACATGAGATGGGAGGACTGCCTTGTCCTAGCTGAAGCCCACCCTCCTCTGCCCCACCCACCTCATACACACCTGTATCCCCAGCCCCAAGTAAGGAGCCTCATCCAACACCCCATGAGAGTGCTGCCCAGAGGGCCCCTTCAGTATGGAGCTCTGGGACAAGGGGGCCGGTGCCCACCCCAGCCTGGCTCTGCTCTGGGGAGAAGGCCAGGCTACAGGCCTCCCCTACAGAGAAGACCAGGGCGGGGGGAGGGTGCCTGCGGCCAGTTACCATCTTGGGCTCCCTGAAGACCTGGCTGTCGATCATGTCCCAGGCACCCTGTCCCAGCGACAGCAGCCTGAGCAGCAGCAGGAGGTCAGGGCTGTCCTGTGGGGAAGGGCCCGGGAGTGACAGGCGCTCCCCAGCTCTGCTCCCACCCGTACCCCCTCCTCCAGCTCTGGTGGAACCAGGAGGGATCTTAGGTACCACAGCAGCCCACTGGTCTCAGTCCATCTCCCCACGTGCCCACCCCAAGTCGTCCAGGGTATCCTCCCCCGGGGGACAGGGCACCCTCACTGGGTGGGCAGCACGGTCCCTACAGCAGTCTATACTTGAGCACGCGCCCAGAAAGACCAGTGTGGGGCCCAGCCCAGCGCCACCCGGGCCCCGCCCGGCCCGGCAGCTGCTCTCACCCTAGGCAGCGTCTCCTGGCTCACCAGCTCCTGCAGGTGCCTGACGGTGCTGAGGGAGAGCGTATTGATAGCAAAGGGGTCGCACAGGATCATGGACAGGTCCCTGGGAAGACAGAGCACCAGCGTGCCCTTGGGAACCCAGCCGCCCCAGGGAGTGGCCTCCCTTCAGACGGAGCAGCCGATTCCATTCCCGACTCTGAAAGAAACCTTTCGAGGCCCACAGCCTGTCTCAACTTGGTCAGAGAGCTCTGGAGAAGAAAAGTACTCCTTTGGCATAAAAAGCTGACGGATCAGCAAGTGGGTTTTGGTTCTGAAAGCTGCCCCAGGCCCCTAACCCACAGTTGCCCTACAGAAAATACACAACAAAGAAACAGAAACCAAGTCGGGGCCAGGCTGCACCCACAGACAAAACCCCCGACGCGCCTCAGCCCAGGCACAGCACCCAGGGTGAGCCAGGACATCCTTCCACGTGGAGGGCCCTGAGCCCCCGGCAATGGCACCCACCCTGCCATCACCAGTGGCTCTGCCAGGGCTGGTCCACACAGTGGGCCTGGGACAGATCATGGGTTCCCTGTAACACTGTGGACGGCTGGGGGTCCAGGCATGCAGTGGGCAGCTGCACCCGGGCAGGCCCTCACCCCAGGACTTGCTCCTGCCCCTTCTTCACTCCATCCAAAAAGCCCTGCAGCTCCCGCGCCCGCTTGCTGTCCACGAACCGCTCCCGGATGCAGGCGTCCAGGCACCAGGTGAACTGCAGGGGAGTGCAATCGGCAATGTCACCCAGCCACACCCCACCACGGGGCCATACCCCCACTGAAGGCCGCGAAGGACGCACACAGCCCTGCCTCCTGCTCAGGCACGAGAGAGGACCCGAGGAGGGGCCGATCTCACGCCCGGTGCTGTGCTGGGGGCAGGGGCAGTGCAGGGAGCCCCGGCCTAGAGCCTTGGCCATGCCAGTAAGCAGCTTTGAGGCCTCTGGGGGAGGACAGGGAAGCTCTGAGACCTCAGGAGCAGGTGTGAGTATGGAGGGCAGAGGGGAGCAGCCCAGGGGGTGGGGGGCTGTATCCACTGTAACAGAGGGAGTGACAGACAGGGATGCGTGGGGAGGGAGATCCTGGAGGGCAGCCAGGCCTTGGGCACTGGGAGATCTCTGTCACCAAGCTGGGGTCACCAGAGGCCCAGAGCTGCTTGGTGGCGCAGCTAGACGCCCAAGGGCTTGCTCCCTGCAGCGGCACCACCCGGCTGGCAGCCACCTCGCAGCCGGGGTCCCGGCGGGCAGCCCACCTTGTGGCAGGGGTCCACGGTGCAGATGTCACTGACGTCCAGGTCGTGCAGGGACATGAGCAGCTCAGCCCGCAGTGTGCAGTAGTGCACGTTGCGTGTTCGCAGGAACAGCGTCCGGAGGAACTGCAGCACCATGTCATACAGCTTCACGTTCTTCCCCACCATCTGTGTCAGCTTCTGCACCACCTGGCCACATGCAGGGGGCTGTCACGCCCGGAGACCACACCCGCCCCCAGCTTTCCAAAACAGCAGACAGGCTGTCAGTACTTCACCACCAGGACAGGGAGGTGGAAGATGGGGAGGAAACATGGGGACCCCACACCGCATGGGGGTGAGGAAGAGGTTAGGAAGGCCCCAAACCAGGAATAAATGAGAAGGGGCAGGTGTCCCCCTCCAACGGGTACTGTCCGATAGGGACAAACCACCTACAGCTCAAGCATTTGGAACGGGGCCCGAGATGGGTGGCGAGTGTCAAAGGCACAGCAGGTTTCAAAATGTTAGATGGAGAAAGAGACGGCACTGGGGGCAGTGACTCCTACGACCAACAGCCAGATGGCATCAGAGGGCAGCACAGGCCCAGGAAGAAGGCTCAGGAGGCGGGAAGGGACTGGAGAGGAGGAGGGAGGGAAACGGAAGCGCAGGGAGGAGGGGGGAGGAGAGCTGTCAACACGGTGGGGACTGCGGTCCTCGTCACCAGACGAAAGGTCAGAATTATCAAGTGGAAGACCAATGCGCTCCATCAACTTTCATCCAAATCACAAAAAGTAAAAAGAAAGCGGCGAATGCCATCAATGGTTTTCATACGAAGCATGTGCTCTGATTACAGTATCACGGACACGCCACTTTAAATAAAACACGTAAAAATGGATTCCACATGCTCTTGTTCTTCAGACCTTAACGCAGCTACTACGAAATGTTACACTGTTTACTGACTCAATTTTTCTTTCTCCTACACAGGCTTGGTCAAAAGTCGGCCCATCAAGAAATCTTGTCATAAAGGAGCAAATTTAGGGGCCCTAATATATGGGACAAATAGACTATCAACAGAACCCAAAATGCACAAACAGAAGAGAAACTAGAAGAGTGGGACCAACTAAAAATTAAATTTTTATGTGCTTCCAAAAACTTCTCCCAAAGAGTCAAAAGAGAACCTACAGATTGGGAAGAAATATTTGGCAATGACATATCTGACAAGGGACTTATCTCTAGAATTTACAAAAAACGCCAACACCTCAATAACAAAAAAATAAACAATCCAATTTAAAAATGGTCAGAAGACATGGACAGATACTTCACACCAAGGAGGATATTCAGGCAGCCAACAAACATATGAAGAAATGCTCACAATCATTAACCATTGTTGTTGTTGTTATGTGCCGTTGAGTCGGACCCGACTCATAGCGACCCCTCCTTGGGTTTCCAAGGCAGTATCACTATGGAAGGAGATTGCTCCATCTTCCTTCCAAGGAGTGGCTGATGGGTTTGAACCGCCAGCCTTCTGGTTAGCAGTCAAGTGCCTTAGGCACTATGCTACCAGAGCTCCCATTAGAGAGATGCAAGTCAAAACAACAATGAGATACCATCTCACCCTCGCACTAATGGCAAAGTTCAAAAAGACAGAAAGTAACAAATGCTGGCAAGGATGTGGAGAGATTGGGACTCTCATACACTGCTGGTAGGACTGTAAAATGGTACAACTACTGTGGAAAGCAGTATGGTCATTCCTTAAAAAGCTGGAATTTGAAATACCATTTGACCCAGCCATTCCATTACTAGGTATACATCCTACAGAAGTGAGAGCCAGGACAAAAATAGACATATGCACACCCATGTTCGTTGCAGCACCATTTACAAAAGCTGAAAAGCGGAAACAACCTAGGTGTCTATCAACAGAAGAAGAGACAAGCGAACTATGGTACATACACACAATGGAATACTATGCAACCCCAAAGAATAATGGAGAATCTGCAAAACGCCACATAACACGGATGAACTTGGAGGACATTATACTGAGTGAAATAAATCAATCACAGAAGGACAAATATTGTATTCGTCCGTTATTATAAAAAGTTAAGGAAAGGTTTATATACAGAAGAAAATTTTTTTTTGTTGGTTACCAAGAGTGGGAGGTGAGGGCAGGGAATGCTGTTAGATGCAATGGAGAGACAAGCATTGATTTGGGTGAAGAGAAGGGCAATGTACCAAATGGGAGTGACCAACATGGTGGCACTGAGGAAGAGGAAGGCATAGAGAGGTACATGGGAAGTATAGACAACAAAGATGAACCTTCTGCACATACAGTACTGCGCTTGTGAAAGGAAACATGGGTATACGGCTGCATAGATAGGTGGACAGGCTGAACTAGTAGGTATGTCTGTGCAGGGAGGAGTATGTCCAAGACCGTGTATAGGGTCGGCAGACAATGCTTCTACAAGTGTAGTGGTATATTCTGTGAGAATTTCCAGGTGTACAGTAGAGCTGACAAGGGACAAGGTTGTAGTCACTTCTTGGTCACAGCCAGCTACCCAGAGGGAGCGAGTAGTTGAACCTGTGGGCTCGGGACCATAGTCACAGGTGACATCAAGTTCAATTGGCATAACATACTACACAAAATATTGTTCCACCTCCTACTTTGGCGAGTAGCAACCGGGATCATAAAAGCTTGCAAGCAGCCATCTAGATGCAACGATGGGTCTCTCCTCGTCCAGAGCAATGAAGAATGAAGGAAACCAAAGATTCATGGAAATAATTAGTCCAAGTGACTGGTACACCATGCAATCCTCAGCCTATACGACTATGAGACCAGAAGAACTAGATGGTGCCCGGCTACCAATGTCAACCATGTGGAGGAGGACCTATGTAGGAGTTCCTGGATAGAGAAGGAGAACAATGTGGAACAAAACTCAAAATCATCTGGGGGTGGGGATAAAAAGGGACCAGGTTTGCTGGTCTGATAGAGCCTGATGAGACAAACCCCTGAGACTATGGCCCCTAGCTGCCCTTCAGGTCTGGAATTGAACTCACACCTGTGGCTTCCAGCAAAACAAAAGACAGGCATAAGAGCTGGACATTTACCTGAGGTAGATACACTCCTTAGAGAGAACAATCATGGGGGAAAGAAAGACTGTGTATGCTCAGGGGGCAGGAGTGCACTGAGGGATGGACACTGAGAAGAGGTAACTATGGGGAGGAAGTGGGAGGGGAGCTGTTGCATTGGGGTAAACTGTAGCCAATGTCATGAGGCAAAGTGTATGTGAACTGCTGTGTGGAAAGTGAATTTTCCCTGTACACTTCCACCCAAATCACAATTAAAATATATATATATATATATATATATAGGCATAAAAAAGCATGTAGTCCCTTCAAGCGTGAACCCTGGGGAGTGGTGACCTCGTAACAGCGAAAGCCTGAGACTAGCTTCTAAAACAAAAAAAGAAGTCACGCTCCAAACCGGTAAGTGATGTTTAGAGATGTACAGAAGGTGCCCTTTTGGCGGTAGCTCCTGGGACCGGGTCAGGGTGGATCTGCTGCATCATGGCCCTCCACGGGACAGTTAGCTACGCCCTCATCAGAAAGCAAGACTCGCAAACGCAAAACAGCATGGTGTCGAGAGAGAGACCGAAGAGCCCTCCCAGCAGCCCAGCCTTGAGGAACAGAGCCCCGGTACCGGTGGGTGCCGCCTCACCTCGCCCTGGCGCCGGGTCTTGGGGGAGGGGCTGAAGAAGTTGTGCAGGACGGAGAGCTCGGTGCTGAAGAGCGCGGCCTCCTTCTCCAGGATGTACTGCTTCAGCAGTGGGGACACCTCGTCCCCGAACAGGGCCTGGTTGTCCTGCCAGATTTGCCGCTTCACCTCCACGGCACAGGCTCGGTACAGCTCCTTGTCGGCCATCACCAGCTTCAGCTTCTTCTCAGGAACCTGTGAGAGGACCGCCGTCAGCCACGCCTGTGCCCCCGGGTCTCTCTGCAGACAAACAGAGGCCACGGCCCCGTGGCAGAACCCTGCACCAGCTCAGCCCTCTCCAGGGGAAACTGGCGCCTGGGACTGAGCCCTGGGTGACCCCGAGGCCGAGGCCGAGGCCAAACCACACCAAACGTCGCCCGTCAGGTGGAGTCTGTCTCGTGGTGCTGCCATGTACACCAGAACACAGCGCTGCACGGGTTTGTTCTCTCGGCTGCAACCTTTAGGGAAGCAGACTGCCAGGATTTCCTTCAGCAATGCTGCTGAGTGGGTTCGAACTACCCATCCTTCAGCTAGGAGCCGAGCACCAGCTGCCTGTGCTACCCGGGCTGTGTGGCAGGCTGGGCTGTGCTGAATACGAAGGACCCGACGTGTCAACCCAAGCCCCAGGCTGCATCTCCGGGAGGCTCTTCAGGGAGCAAGCACCACACGCCAGAGCCGGGCTCCCTTGGGGCAGGCAGTGTGAAGCCCGCCCTGGAGCCAGGTGGACCTCGGGCCCTACGCCCATGCTGGTGCTGCACCACCTGCTCTGCAGGGGCCCTCACCTTGGGCAGGTGCTTCATCACACACATGACCACGGGCTGCAGGGACGGGACCTTCACCAGAGGGAAGCTCTTCTCCAGCAGGTCTTCCAACTTCTTGTACCTGCAAAGACTCGCAAGGTCGCCCAAGTCAGGACAGGCAGCCTGCCCGGCTGCCACCGCCCAGGAGCGGTGAAGGCTGCTACGTCTGTTCCAGCGCCGACAAGGGGCTGCAGCCGCTGGCCCACCTTTCCTCCGCCTTCCCCTCGGACGCAATGGCGGACACTCTCTCCAGCAGCTTGTCCCGAAGCTCGTCGAACACTGACTGGTGGAACTCCAGCCGCGGGGTCCCGTGCAGGTCCAGGAAGGGCAGGGCGGACTGCAAGGACGGCAGCAGGACACCGTTCTCCGTCTGCAGGCCAGACGGGCGCCAATTTCAGCGGCGCCCACATTTAGGCGCACAGGACGCAGTGCAGGGCTGGCTGCCTGCAGCGCGGGCCGGAACAGCTGGAGCCACGCAGATGGCCGTCGTGAGGCACTAAAGCCAGCAACCCCGCACGTCCCAACGGAGCACATACCAGGAACCCCAACTCCCCGGGTCCGCCGGCCCCGTCCGGACGCCCAGCCTTCTCCCCGAGCCCCTCGCCGCCGGCGGCACGCCCACCTGGAACTGCTCGATGGCCTTGAGCGGCTCAGTGCAGTTGGTCAGCGTCTCCTTCAGGTCCTCACCGTTGGCCACGCCCAGGTCCTGCAGCCCTGCGAACATGGCCGAGGCTCCT